TACCAGGATTGAACCCAGGGGCACTTAACTACTGAGCCACATCCCCAGCCCATTTCATTTTTTCTTTTGAGACAAGGTCTGACTAAATTGCTTAGAGCCTCAATAAGTTACTGAGACTGGCTTTGAACTTGCAATCTTCCTGCCTCATCCTCCTGAGCCCCTGGGATTACAGGTGTGCACTACTGCACCCAGCCTTATTTTTTTTATTTTGAAACATGGTCCTGCTAAATTCACCAGCTGGCTCCAAACTTGCAATCCTCTTGTCTCATCTTCCCATGTCTCTGGGATTTCAGCCATGCTCCATCGTGGCATGCCCAGCAGTCCTACTTTTTTTTTTTCCCCCTCCACAATACCTTTATCTTATTTATTTATTTTTACGTGGTGCTGAGGATCAAATCCAGTTATCTCACACAGGCTGGGAAAGTGCTTTACCATTGAGCCACAACCCAGCCCTCAACATTCATTCTTTGTGTGTGTGTGTGTGTGTGTGTGTGTGTGTGTGTGTGTGTGGTGCTGGGGATTGAACCCAGGGCCTTGTGCATGGGAGGCAAGCACTCTGCCAGCTGAGCTATATCCCCAACCCCTATTGTCTTTGATTCAAAGCAACTGTCATATATTTCCCAGGCATTGTATTTGTTTTAAAATGAGTTTTAAATGCCCAATTCCTAGCTGGCATAATGGCACATGCCTGCATTCCCAGTGGCTCAGAAGGCTGAGGTAAGAGGATCACAAATTCAAAGCCAGCTCAGCAATTAAGCGAGGCCCTAAGCAACTCAGTGAGACTCTTATCTCCTAAATAAAATATTAAAAAGGACTGGGAATGTTCAGTGGTTAAGCACCCCTGGATCCCTGGATTCAATCCCTGGTACCAAAAAAAAAAAAAAAAAAAACAGCAAAAACAAAAAAATAAATAAAAATGCCCAATTCCTTAGTTGTCTCTGTATTTGCGTAGTGTTTTCTTCCATTTTGACCTTTAGCTAAATCACTTTGGTGTCACAAATTTATATTGTTTCGAAAGAGGAATCTTGTCATCTTTCTCCTTGTCTTTTCCCTCCTCTGTCAATTGAGCAGTACAGTTTAGAGGGAATCTCCCTGCCTGTATTTGTCAGTTCTTCATACATTTTGGATCTCCTGAGAGAAGGAACGAAGTGCTAAGATTTTGGATGATAAGAATTTAAATCCATGGGGCTAGAGATGTGGCTCAGTGGTAGAGAGCGCTTGCCTAGTATGTGTGAGACACTGGGTTCAATTATCAGAGCCACATTAAAAAAAAATAAGTAAAATAAAGGTATTGTGTCCCTCTACAAGTAAAAAAATAAAAAAGAATTTATATCCAGTATAGTCATTAACTATAGTTTGCCTAAGATCTTTTCTTTCCACCTGTGACTTTGTGAAGGCTTAATTTGAATTCCAATTATTGGTGAACCTAAATAATAGCTTTCTACCAATTTACGGTTATGAGTGAGTAGAAGGCAAGGATGTTAAATAAATTTGAGCATTCATTTTATTTTTGCAGGTCTGGGGATCGAACACAGGTCTTTGTGCATGCTAGGCAAGTGCTCTACCATTCCTAGCCTATAAACTTATTATTTTTTTTAATGGCTTTAGCTACCATCCATCTTGGATTATATTGGTAGTATAAATTTAGTTGATTCCAAATATAATGGAAGAACTTTGGACCTGGGAATGGGGAAAACCACACTTCTATTGATGAAGTGAAACCTGAGTGCCAGCTTCTTCAGAACTAACCTGCTACTTCTGCTGTAGTAGTGGAAATACTTTCTAAAAGCCAGGGTGAATTAAGAAGGGAATTTTAGGGATATGGAAGATCTTATCTTAGCATTTCCAGCTGGAGATAAGAAGATATTATGGAGAAGAATGATTAAGACAGTTTGATCCCTGCCCCACAGCCCCTCCCCCTTGTAAATGTTCAGTGTCAATCCCAGTGGTAGATGAACTTAAATTATAGTTTTTTTTTTTAACCAATTTATGGTTATGAGTGAGTAGAAGGCAAGGGGGTAAATAAGCTTCAGGGTTCATTTACAGAAGTTGCCTTTACTTATTTCCTTGCCTTTTCCTCTGGATTCTTCAGCACCTGCTTTGAAACTCATCCACTTTGAGAGGAGAAAGGAATGTCCTCAACTTGTTATATGGGAAGGTGCCTTTTGGGGATAGTTTTGATGAGCAAGGGTTCCACCATGCGACCAGCGCACTGGTTTCATTAAAGAGGTTCTTGGCATAAAAGCTAGTGAGATCGAAATAAACACAGACTCAATTACCTTTTTCTATGACCAGGTACGAGTCGGCTCTCCCTCTGACTCACACCTCAAACCACCCTGTAGGGCAGCAGGGATTACTCAGGGATAGCAGGAGAGAGAGAGAGCACGCTAGGGAGTGGCCTTTTATTGGGGAACAAGAAATTCAGGGGAGAATTCCATCCAATGAAGGTTGAGGGGGGCAGCACTCCAAGGTCAGGGTCAGTGATTGGCCCCAGGGTCAGTGGTCAAGTCACACCCCCACACGGACAGGCTCTCGCACCAGGAGAGGGTCGGGAAAGCTCCGACACAGTTTAGCCAGAGCGCCTCACACCCAAACCGGGAGTTGCCCAATCACGTGTGAGAATGGCTCCCCACACAAGGGCATGATAAAAATAAATACTTAGTAGTGCTGGTGAAAGGTATGTTTATGTAACAACAAATGCGATTCAACTGCCATGGTAGGAACTGTAGACCCCTTGTGCCCAAGAGTTTTACTGACTTTTTAGTTAAGGGTGATGAAGAGATATCTGTGAATTGCTATAGGAAAGAAGTGATATGGAATACTTTTCATAGAATAGTGAAGCCATCTTTGCCATAACAGCATTGGAAGTCTGTGGCATTCTGATACTCTGGCAGGATGTGTATTGTAACACTATGGAAGAGCAGTTCAGTTTTAGCCATGAGAAGTCATGTTGTTATAGACATATTTTGTTCTTTCATGGAGGGAGTCCCTGAGAAGTCTTCGAGTTAGAACATATGGCTGGCAATGACATGCCTCTCTTTCAGGGCCTTGGAAGATCTTGGGTAAAGCAAAAATGGGTGTACTTGTTTCAGGGACTTCTTAATAGTAATGGACAGTTGAAATAAGGATAGACCAATGACTTGGCAACAAGGATCTATGTGCACCAAAGGGAAACAGCAGTACATAGATGAAGTTGGAATTAATTATAATGAAAACAAAAAGTACTGGCCCTTTCAGGGAGGAGTGACGGCTTTGAGAGGTCTCTGCAAGAGGCAAATTCAATGTTTGAAGAGTCGCTGCATCTGGAACAAAAGGGAGACTGTGCTACAGCTTTGGCTCTTTGTAACGAAGCTATCTGTAAGTAACTCTAACCGCTATGGCTATGGCATTTTTTACTAACTTCATAACAGGTATTAGTGTTGTCGCTCAGATGACTATAAAAATAATTTTTATGTTTCTTAACTCTCACATTTCCAAAGTGAGGCCCTTTAGCTATCTATGCCCTTCAGATTTCTTTTCCCTCCCCTCCCTTTCCCTTTTCCCTCCCCTTCCCCTTCCCCTTCCCCTTCTACCTCCCCTTTCCTTTCCCTTCCCTTCCCTTCCTGTCTCTCCTCTTCCTGTCTCTCCTCTCCTCTCCTCTCCTCTCCTCTCGGTACCAAGGATTGAACCTGGGGCACTTTGTCACTGAGCTACATCTCCAGCCCTTTTTATTTTTTTACTTTGAGATAGGATCTTGTTAAATTGCTTCAGCCCTTGCCACATTGGCAAGGCTGGCCTTGAACTTGTAGTCCTCCTGTTTGAGCCTCCCAGGTTGCTGCAATTATAAGTGTGTGCCACCGCTCCTGGCATCCTTCAGATTTCTAAATGTGCCTGGCATTGTAACTGTGGCTTGTGGATATTTACTGGAATTACCCTCAACAGGAATCCATAGATGACTTCTCCAGCCATGCCTACCTTCTTATCCCAAGAAGAAGTTAGACTTCAGATAGCAAGTTAGTCTGCTCTTTCTCTAGTGGTTGACTAGTAAGTTGATAACTTATGGCAGAAAAACTGAGTTAATTGGCCATTGACTTCCCAGGCTTGTAACTTTCCACTGCAATATTTGATTCTTTTTGTTTCTCCCCTGCCTTCTGGTATGCAGCACCATAATGTTACAGCCAGGGAATAAAGTTTAGAATTGGTATCCAATTTTATATGACCATATGAAGCTGTGCTCTGTAAAGACAGATGCAGGTTTGGATCTTATTTCTGCTGTTGGCCATCAGGAAGGGGGAGTTGGGAGCAGTGTGTGGAGACCAGAGTCGAACAGGTCAGTTGGAAAGGACAAGAGTGACAATCTCTGAGCACTAGTTTATCTTCCTGATTTGTTTTAGTTGGGGTGTGTGTGTGTGTGTGCGTGTGTGTGTGTGTGTGTTTAATAATTTAAATTAACTTCTTTGGCCTCCATAGCTTCCATGTATGTTCCTTATAGCCAGAGCTAGCTCTGTGCCCCTGGACAGTGTATGCATGGTCCATGCCTTGCATTCCTGCTGCATATTTTGTTTTACTGCATATCTTTGCTTCTTTTTGATTCAATTTTATTTGTTTTATTTTTATTTGTATTTTGTGTTCTGTTTCTGCTATATTTTCTTTTGCATTTTAGCTAAACTAAGACTTGCCCTGCATGGTGCCAGCTCTAGCACGCACAGCAGAGCCCTAGTCGATAAGAAGTTGCAAATCAGTATTCGAAAAGCAAGGAGCCTGCAGGATCGCATGCAGCAGCAGCAATCATTGCAGCAGCAGCAATCATCGCAGCAGCCGTCGCAGCCCTCAGCCTGCCTCCCATCACAGGGGGGGGCCGTCCCTCAGCTGACAAGGTAGTGCTTGGGAACCACATGAGTTTATAGATGCCAGGGGAGAAAGTGACCATGGGTACTCTGCAGCAGAAGCTGTCATTGTCTCCGTGACTACAGGGAAGAGAGAGAAATCTATTGAAAAGATTGATTAGGAAAAAAGCCCTAGTAGCCATTGATATAGTTCACACATCTTGGCCTTTAAATTTGGCTTTTAATTAGAATAAGTGAATTTAAGTAAAAATTAAATTTGTTAATAAGTTTGAGTAGTTTTCAAAATAAAAATATAATAAAGGCATCCAACCCTGGGCTGTGTACATGCTAGGCAAATGCTCTTCCATTGAGCTATACTCCAGCCAGTATTTTGTGAACATTGCCTAGTATCCAGGCCCGAGCTAAGTATTTTATTTCATTATCAAAATACCCTTATAAGATAGGGACCATAGGGCTGGGGTTGTGGCTCAGCAGTAGAGTGCTTACCTTGCATTTGTGGGGCACCAGGTTCAATCCTCAGCACCACATAAAAATAAATCAAAATACAGGTATTTTTCTATCTACAACTAAATATATATATTCCCCCCCACAGACAAAAATATAGGAACTATTAGTTAGCATTCTTTATAAATAAGGAGACTTGAGCTCAGGAAAACTAAGATTACTTGGCTTATAACAGTAGAAGTATAGAATTCAAATCTAGGTCTGTCTGTTTGGTGCCAAAATGTATGTCATCGACCATTATGTAGTATGCCTTTTATGGTTAGATTTTTCCATACATGTATATGCTACAAGAGTGACTGGGTGACTAACATAGGATAGTTTATAGCATGTAGGTCATATACACTTTATCCAAAATACTTGGAACCAGAAATGTTTCAGATTTCAGTTTTCTCCCCCAGATTTTGGAATATTTGCATAGTCTTTACTGGTTGAGGATTCCTAATCCAAAAATTCAATTCCAAAAAAAAAAAAAAAAGCCGGGCATGATGGCGTATGTCTGTAATCCAGCAGCTTGGGAGGCTGAGGCAGGAGGATCATGAGTTCAAAGCCAGCCTCAGCAATTTAGCGAGTTTCTAAGCAATTTAGTGAGACCCTGTCTCTAAACAAAATGTAAAAAAGGCTGGGGGTGTGGCTCAGTGGTTAAGCACCTCTCGGTTCAATCACTGGTACCAAAGAAAAAGAAAAAGAATTGAAGTCCAAAATACTCCAGAATCCAAAACTGTTTCAGTGTCTTGTCTGCACTCAAATAGTTTCAGATTTTTTGGAGCATTTCAAATTTTGGATTTTCAGATTAGGAACCTGAAAATCCAAAATTTCACACATTTTGGAAAGCAAAATCCTCATTTTTCAGATAAGGATGCACAGGTTGAGCATCCATAATCTGAAAATTCAGAATTTGAAAAGGTGGGATTTTATTTAAGTGCTTGTAACATTGCATTTTTGGGGGGTCAGAAATATAAAACAATTAGAAACCAACTAAATCTTAAGAGAATATGGTATATTAAGAAAACATCTGAGTGAATAATACAGTAAAACCTAGATAATAAAGACAAATTTGAAGTAGTTGATTTGTGTAATCCTATGAACATGAATCACCTGTATTCTGTATTTGTAACCTCTTGATTCCTTTGGTTGGGCTACCTCACAGAACCTTATGTAGCATTTCCCTCCTTGTATAGCATCTGGATTTTTGCTGTTCTGTGTGAAAATCACTCATTTTACCTACCTTCCGTTGTCATCTGCATGTGAGACTAGCAATTTTGATTTTTAAATTTTCAAGTAGAATGTGTTTGGAAAGGGACTTTAATGTAGTGAAGAATATTGGCAAGGACTGTACTTAATATTGCTGTGTGTAACTCTGGTGAAGGATTGATATTACCTGTTTATCTGAGCATGAGTGGTATATGTAGGGGAGTCTTTTCTTTTGTTAACCTCTAAATTATTGACCCTACTTGTGCTTGTCTTTCCATTTCTTCCTTTTTTTTATAAATTAAAAAAAATTTTTTTTGGTACTGGGGCAATCCCTAGTCCTTTTTATTTTTTATTTTGAGACAGGGTCTCACTAAGTTGCTGAGGCTGGCCTTGAAATTTTATCCTCCTGTCTCAGCCTCCTGAGTTGCTGGGATTACAGATGTGCACCATTGTGCCTGGCTCTGTTTCTTTTTAAAATTTTCTTGTTTTTTACCACAGTACTGGGGTTTGAACTCAAGGGATCTCTACCACTGAACTATATCAGTAGTCCTTATTTTCAGTTTGAGACAGGGTTTTAAGTTGCTGAGGCTGGCCTCAAACTTGAAATCTTCCTACCTCAGCCTCTCAAGTTGCTGGGATAACAAGTGTGTACCATTGCGCCCAGCTTCATTTATTTTCATCATTCCTTCTGTGGATAACTATAAATGGGAATGGAATGATCAGTTCTTCTTGGAAGTGATCTTGTCAATCACCTTATGACTGGCTTTCTCCATTTGTTTCAGTGAACAGCCTATCCCGCTCCAAGTATTGTTAAGCCACGAGGCCCAACTGGAACCCTGCACAGATACAGATTTTGGGGCCAGTTCTTCTTTCTTACACTCACCTGCTTCCTGCCATGAGTCACACTCATTACTGTTCCCAGAGTTACCTGCTTCATCTGCCCCACAGCACAGTTCCCCCAGTAAATCTGCCTCAAAGCTTCTGACTTCAGTTGAGGTGGACAGCATTGACCCTTCTGTATTTCACAGGCAGTGTTTACCTAAAACACCAGGGAGAACTGAGAATTCTCACCTTGATTTTGTGCCATTGGATGCCTCAGAGGGTAAACTGCCAGGGCAAAGGGGTGATAACAACAGTTACAGCAGGTTCTCTCTTCAAGAAGGAAGGAACATTGCTCAAGAACAGCCATTCCAAGAAAAGAGGAATCCTACTGACTCATCCCTGGTGATGTCTTGGTCACACCTAACAGGAAGAGCCACCTCAGAGAGAGGAGAAACACACAGCCTAGGCTATAGTCCTTCAAATTCATTAGTTCAACCCAGTATTCCCACACATAGGGCCTGCCACCCCATAATGTCTGCTGCTGCTTCATCTGTGCTTCATTCTTCTGATCCTGTGCAGAAAACTAACCAATGCCTCCAAGCCCAAAGCCTCCAAACTTCTCTGACTTCAAAAGTGGATGGAAGCAGTGAGGAGCCATGTAGACCAGAGTTTCCCAGCACAAAGGGACTTGTCCGCTCACTGGCAGAGCAATTCCAGAAGATGCAGTGTGCCTCCATGAGGGATGCCTCAGGTTCCCAAGAGAGAAGTCTTGGAAATCTAAAGAAGAACTCTTTCCCTTCTGACTCTAAGCCTTCTTTCCAGCATGGTCAAGGGAAAGGTCATTGTCCCTGGGCAAAAGAGCAAGCCTCTCTGGATGGTAGGGACAGATTGCCTTCCTGGGAAGATCCTGCTGACCACCATCTTTCTCTTGCCATGGACTCAGGGCAGCCAAACAGTGAAACTTCTAGGGGAGGACAGCCCAGGTTGGGAGAGCCAGGGATATACCAAGGAAAGCTATCCCAAGCAAAAGACCCTAGGCCTAAGGAGATTGGTAACAGTATCAACTTGGGGACTTCCTTGCCTTTGGATTCCTGGGTGAATGTCACAAGGTTCTGTGATTCTCAGCTTAAACATGAGATCCTTGGGCCAGGGATGAAGTCCTCTCCCCATGATTCTCATACCTGTGTAACCTATCCAGAGAGAAATCATATCCTTTTACATCCACATTGGAACCAAGACACAGAGCAAGAGACCTCGGAATTGGAATCTCTCTACCAGGCCAGTCTTAAGGCTTCCCAGGATGGCTCTTCTGCATGGGCGCCACAGAATGTGGCTTGGCATCCACTTAGCCAAACAGGTAAGAATACATTTCAGGGTAAGAAGAAATAGGGGTTATATAAAAGCTTATATAAAAACAAGACAATATGAGAGGAGTGGTATTCTATACAGGTAGTATTTGTAGCTTGGTAAGAGGTAGTAGAACTTCTGACTTTACTCATGAGCTTCAGGACAGGTGCTGAAAGAAAGATGTTTTTCTTGATAGAGTGGATAATGGAGGTACAAAAAGAAATTTGCAAATGAATTCCTCCTTTTAAAGAAAGAGACCACTAAGTATTTATCCATGGTTTCTCTAGTATGCAGTGCTACAGCATGGTTCATAGGTCTTTAAGAGTGACTCACCATGGAATTGGGTTAGATGAGAGGAAATGTCATTTTGTGGTTTAGAAGTTAAACCAATCCCAAGATTGAGCCTCCAGGTTTGCCTTGCAGCTGGGGTGTCCCTATTGAATGACATCTCTAATATGAATGGCATTTCCAGATCATAATGAACTAGTAATATCAAGAACTTCCTTTATTCCATTAGGAATTTCCAGAATTCCTGTCTTCACAGAATTTTCAAGGTATTATTTTATAGGGTAGCCTTCACAGACTCTCCTTAAAATAGTACTGAATGAGGAGTCAAAGCTACATTTCATTCACCTCACAGATTTAATTCTGGAAATTGAAGATATGAAGAATGTTTGAAATTTAGATTGCATGCACTAACTCCAGACCCTGAGTTATTTTCCTGATACTGACATTACTTCTGAATATAAATTTGATACGTAATATCCCAGGAACAAATTTTTACTTGAAAAATGAGAGAAATAGTTCAATTATTTTTCTAAAAAGATCTATTCCAACTCTAAAATGATTTGTATTATTCTGTAAAATTTAATTCAGAGATCTTTGTCTTCAGCTTGTGTAGGACAGCTTTTATAATTGTACAGGTTCCTTGCATGCTGACAACCAGTATTTAATTATAGTCATTTTGTTTATTAAATACCTACTTTGTTTCCTGGAGCTGTGGGCAAATGCCACATAAATATAAAATTTGATATTAAGATATGTTTCTAAGGATTTGCTTCCTAGCGCAGATTTTGTAATCCCATTTATTAAGTGCTCTAGGTACGTGGGTGGGGTGATATTGGGAATATTCTAAAGAAAAGGAAAAGCTAGAGTCTGCTTCAATGAGCTGTCTCTCTGATATAAGGGAGAATAAATACATTAAATATTTTAAGAATGATAATAAACATAAAATAATACATTGTAAATTGAACTAACTAGTTGAATGTTAAATATTATATTTAAAAACAAAAAGCCCTTATAATACTCCAAAGAGCAACCTTTTTAATTGTAGTTTTAAAATATCAAAAATCCTTGCCAATCTCACTCAGTGTTTTAATGTTTTAACCTTTTTAAAAAAAATACACATATACTGTATTTTGTTTGTGTTTAGCAAAAAGCAAGGTAAGTATAAAGTTTAGTCTCATGATTTTCTTAAATTGTATTTATGAACATTTTTCATAAAAATCAGTTTTATGATTATAATGTTATATATGAATGTACAATAACATTTATTTTGCTACTGAATAAAAGCTAATACTTAGTTCAATTTTATAAACTTTTTTTCTTTATTGGAGATTGAACCCAGGGGTGCTTTACCACTGAGCAACATCTCCATCCCTTTTTATTTTTAAAGACATTTTTTAAGACTGAGTTGCTGAAGTTCTCACTAACTTGCTGAGGTTCTTGCTAAATTGCTGAGGCTGGCTTCAAACTTGAGATCCGCCTGCCTGAGCCTCCTTACTTGCTGGGATTACAGGCATGTGCTACTTCTTTATCTTATCATAAAGCATTTATTAAGCACCAGATTACTCCTTTAAAAAAGTAAATACATTATAATATATAATTTACACACCATCATTTCCCCTACTTGAAGTGTATAATATAATAGTTTTTAATAGAGTTGTTAACTCTTTGCAGTAGTTCAGGGTTTTTTGACTTTTAATTGTTAATCTCCCCCCAACCCTTATTTTTTCTTTTGGCAGTGCTATAGATTGAACCCAGGGCTTTGCACATGCTAGGCCAGCACTCCACCAGTGAGCCACATCCTCAACCCACTACTGTCTGTTTCAAAATGTTACTATCATCCTAAAAAGGTTACTATCATCCTATACCCATTAGCAGTCATTCCCCTGTACTCTATCCCTCCCCTCCAACCCCACCAATCTATTTTCTGTATCTTACCTGTTCTGGACACTTCATATAAATGGTGTCATATAGTATATGATCTTTTCACATGATTGTAAGTCCTAAAAAATCTAAACACCACTCTTTTTTCCTCTTTGAAGTACTGGTCATTGAATCTGGACCTTACAAATGCTAGGCTGTACTATTGAATTACATCACCAGCTCTTTTTATTTTCTGTTATTTTAAGTCAGTATCTTACACAGTTGTCCAGATAGGCCTCCAACTTGTAATCCTCCTGCCTTAACTTCTGTAGTGGCTGGAATTATAGGAGAGCATCATTATTCCTGGGTCCTTGCCATTTATTTATTGAAGAAGTTTGTTCATTTGTCTTAGAGCATTTTATATATTATAGGTTTTACTGATTGTAGTTTGGTAGAGTTTTTGGTTTTTTGAAAAACATTATTTCAGTTTGATTCCCAGCACCACAGAACAAAAAATTTTTAAAATAGGTTCTTCTAGCCCCCGTTTCTCTTATAAGTTGGTACTTAGAATTAAGGGTGCAATTAAAATCAGGTTCTGACAACAACTAAAATAAATAAATATGTATTTTTTAAAAATCAGGTTCAGTTTTTTTTTGGGTTTTTTTTTTTTTTTTTTTGGTACTTGGTATCATATCCTGGGCCTCATGCATTATAGGCAACTCTATCACTGAGTTACAGCCCAGTCTTTTTAAAATTTTTATTTTGAGAAAAGGTCTTGCTATGTTGTACAGGCTAGTCTTAAACTTGTGATCCTTAGTTGGAATTTTAGGTGTACACCAGAGTGGTGGCACATACCTAAAATAAATAAACACACACACACACACACACACACACACACACACAGGACCTCTCAAATGCTTAGCAAGCAAGGTATCACAGAACCACATCACCAGCCCTCATCTTAATTTTTAAAAATAAGATTATTTATAGGTAATACTTATTATACAATATCAGGAAATATATAATATTGAGCTTTTTGGTTTATTTTGTTACAGTTGATCAGTGAGTAGGTATCATATTAACCCCACTTCTGTTGAATATAGAAATTCCCTCAACAATATCCTCTGCTCAGATACCTCAAAAAGAATTAGAATCTGCTCACATTGCAATTGTCTAATGGCCACCTCCTTGTCTATGAATCACTAAGCTTAATTAGAGGAACATGAAATTCTAACCATTACAAATGTAATTTATTATTAAATTGTCCACAGTTATCATCTGAAGAATGGCTTTAAAGTGTGTGTGTGTGTGTGTGTGTGTGTGTGTGTATAAATATATGGGGCTGGGGTTGTGGCTCAGTGGTAGAGTGCTTGCCTCAAATGTGTGAGGCACTGGGTTAGATTCTCAGCACTACATACAAATAAAAAATAAAGGCCCATCAACAACTAAAATGAATAAAATAAATAAAATTTAAAAAAATAAAGTGTATATATATATATAAGCATATATATACACACATTATATATAAACATGTATGTATATATACACATATGGAAATAATTTTATATAATTGGGATCATAGTATACATGCTGTGTTTTGTGTTTTGGAGTGCTGGGATTAAAACCCAGGTCCTTTAGCTTCTAGGCAAATACTCTGCTGCTGAGCTATACCTCCAGCCATACATGCTATCTTTAATATAGACAGTTTTCTTATCTATTTCTTTTTAATATTTTTAGTTGTCGATGGACACAATACCTTTATTTATTTATTTATTTTTATGTGGTGCTGAGAATCGAACCCAGTGCCTCACATGTGCTAGGCAAGTGCTCTACCACTGAGCTACAACCCCAGCCCTATTTCTCTTTTTCTTAAAACCAGTTCTACGTTCACTTCGCCAAGTAACAATATAGTATGCATACATCTGTATTTTTTTTTGTTCTTATAATTCCATGTAGACCTCCATATAGTTAGTTTTGTTTTGTTTTTTTTTATTTGCTTGGGGGTCATATGACTTTTTTTTTTTTCCTTTTAACTTAACATTTCATGAAAATTCTCCAAGTCATCTTGTTTAACTTAACTCATTTTTTAGTGGCTGGGAAGTAATTGCTAAGGATATAACAATTTATTTAGATTTTTATAAATTTGTATTTGTTCTTATTCTCATGAGTAGAATTATTGGTCAAGAGAGTACATATATTTTCAATTTATTATTATTTTTTGTACTGGAGATTGAACTCAGGGACACTTAACCACTGAGCCACATCCCTACATCCCCAAACTAATTTTGTATTTTATTTAGAGACAGGGTCTCACTATGTTGCTTATTGCCTCGCCATTGCTGAGGCTGGCTTTGAACTCTTGATCCTCCAGACTCAGCTTTCCGAGCCGATAGGATTACAGGTGTACACCACTGCACCCAGCTTATATTTTCAATTTTTAATAGATATTTCCAGATTGCTCTTTTAGGAATACTATGACATTTCCCTTAATAATGTTCAAGGATATTTTTCTACACTGTCTTTTTTGTTTCAAAAGCAAAGATTCCTAGATTCCAACCATAAAGATTCTTATTCAAGTCTGTAGTGAGGCTCAGGAAGCTATATTTCCTCCTTGCCTCCTTTCTTCCTTTCACCTTCCCCTTCTTCCTTTTCTTTTTTTATAAATAAATAAATATATATATATATATATATATATATATATATATATATTAGTTGTAGTTGGACACAATATCTTTATTTTATTTATTTTTATGTGGTGCTGAGGATCGAACCCAGGGCCTCACACATGCTAGGCAAGTGTTCTACTGCTGAGCCACAACCCCAGCCCCCCCTTCTTCCTTTTCCTTTCTCCCTCTCCTTTTCCCTTTTCTCTTCCTCCCTTCCTTCTTTTTTTTTTATTATTTGTTGTTCAAAACATTACAAAGCTCTTGACATATCATATTTCATACATTTGATTCATGTCCCTTCCTTCTTATTGAACTCTTAGGCACACTACAACTGAGCTACATTCCCAGCCACCCCCCCCCCTTTTTTTAAAGAAAGGGTCTCCCTAAGTTGTAGAGACTGGTTTCAAACTTGCCTCATCTTCCTGAGTTGCTGGGAAGCTGTACTTTAAAAACTCCCATGTGAATCTGAGGCAGTATCAGAACCACTGCATGTGAGTACAAGGAAATATTAAAAACAACTGATTTTCAGTACTTATATCAGCACTATCATACAACAGCCATATTGTATATATATTAGAATGAGACACAAAGTGGCCATGTACATATATATCAAATGTAGGTCAAGGACATGTACATTTTCAGAATAGAAGACTTAATTAATTGGATTGGGGAGTCTCTTGGAAGTCACATATCCACTTTAGAGCCGCATTAGTAGTTGTTTAGAATGTGATTGAGAAAAAGTGGGGTAAGGGGAGATAAAAGAGACTTATACATATCAAATATTCCTTAAGAGCTCCTTTTCAGAGTCATAGGAAGAGTACTGTACTAAAAATTAAGATATGAGTTTTAATCCTGAATAAACTTCTACCTACCTATCAGACTCTGGAACTCATTTTCCTGTTATATAAAATGAGGAGATTTGATATAATAATTATTATAATGATCATTTCAATTCTTAACTAAACTGGAGATAATAGTTTTCTTTATCACCAGAGATACTTTAGAAAATCACTACATCAGATAATTTTCTCTCTAGATACTACAAGTCTTGGACTGAATTTTTTTTTTAAATATTTTTTTAGTTGTAGGTGAACACACATATCTTTATTTTGTTTATTTATATGTGATGCTGAGGATTGAACCCAGGGCCTTACACATGCTAGGAGAGCACTCTTCTGCTAAGCCACTACCCTAGTCCTCATACTGAATTCTTTCAGAAGCTGAGTATGTTTACAAAAATGAAGTAAGATAGGGACATTCAGCTGTCTGTCCATAGCCTTTTATAAAGTTCTTGAAGGGCTATGTGACCTATAGAAGTCTATCCATATTCTGAAAATTATTGTTTCTAAGTTCTAGGAGCATCTTTTCCCATTGGATTCAGGAATGCATATTTGTTACTTAGTGAAAGAAGAACTCCTGAGTTTGTGCTTCCAGGCTCAGAGTTTAGGCCCCAAGAGAGAGATGGCTTTACCTTATATTTATGTTTTCTTTCTCAGGCTCTGCAGATGGCATGGGGAGGAGATTACACTCAGCCCCTGGGCTTGACATCTCAAAGACCCGAATAGCAGAAATGGAGCACATTCTCCTTGAAGCCAGCACAGTGCCTGCGTCTCAGGTAGCAGCCTCAAGAGCTAAGGTGATAGACCTGGTTGGTATGTTAGGGAAAGAAGAGTACAAAGGAATGAATGGTAGAGTTGTTGATAAAGCAGAGACATTGTAGTGGGGCTACCAAAAGAGAACAAGGTATGAGATTGGACTGCTTTTGATTGAGAGGAGATCTTTCAATTATATCTAATTGAGGTGTTTACTGGAGAGTCTTATCTAAATTTCTCCCATATCTCCAAGGACAGGGCCTGTGGGAAAACCACAGGTCTGATGTTATGTATCTGCCTGTGTGTGTCTATATGTTTGAAGGCTGCAGCTTGCCGAGGCCTCAGCAGGGAGTATGGGGATGACGAACAGTACAGTGCAGAGAACTTTCGCCGCATCTCACGCAGTCTCAGTGGCACCATTATCTCAGAGAGGGAGGAGGCTCCAGTCTCTTCCCACAGTTTTGTAAGTAGAATCAGGATCTGTCTATTTAGAGCACCCCCATCTTTGCTAGGTAACAAAACAGTGCTGGTGAAAGAGCAGGGAGAAACTGAAGGTTGTAATTTGGGGAAAGCCTTGTGCACTCAGCAAAAATGAGGACACACAGTCATTATTTTACTTACACATTTGGAGCCCAGAGGAGTATTTCTTTTCTGGAGTAGTTCTAAAAGGGTATGTTTTAGGGTTCCCTAAGGTGAGAAGAGTCATTGTAGCCTTGAGAAGAATCTGAGAAGCAAAGCCTAGTGGTTGGGTCAGAATCTATGGTACTTATTAAAAGAAGAAATAGGATAGGATATTGTTTAGCATTTTACTCCTCACCCCAGTACATGACTGAGTGGGGTTAAGTGTGTTTTTAATCTAAAGTGAAGCAAATGCATTAGCAAGAAAAGGAAAATGATTTAAAATCCTTCTCTTTGAGATACTTCAAATTCAGTACTAATATAATAATGTATAGATAGGTGGAAGGGACTAGAAAACTCAAACCAGTAGAGATAAATAAACTCAAATACTGTCATTGATTGGATTTGTAGTCTTATCATTTTGAGAATTTCACACACTTGACCAAGACAAATTGAGTTTTCGTTATAATAGAGATCAGTAAGCAAAGCACTGAAGCTAATCTCTCTGGTCAGTTCAATAAAAATGCAAAACCAGGTTTGATTTTATTTTAAATTTTTTTGTGTGTGTTGGGGAGTGAACCTAGGACCTTATGCATACTGTGCTAGTGCTCTGCAACTAAGCTATGTCCCCAACCCCTTTAAAATAATTTTAAATACATGGTACTAAAATAAAAAGGTATAAAAGGATATACGGAAAAAGTTATGTTTCTGTCCTATCAGCCCCTTCTGATCCAGATTCTCTCCCAAAGCACAATTTTTTTTTTCCATTTTATTGTTCCTAAGTACCTAAATAATTGAACAGCTTGCTATTCTTTTTTGAGAAAGTGGTTTCTTCTGTCCACCATTTGTTCTCAAAAATTTTCAATGTATTTAATACAAAATACTATTTTCTTAGGAGAATTGGCTTCCTTTCTTCTGACTTCTGTATCATTCATTTATTAATTGATTCATTTTTTTAAGCAATTGCTTACTAGGTTTATATTCCTGTTATTGTGCCAGATGCTAGGGATACTATGGTGAGTTAGATACAGCCCCTGCTTTTATGAAGTTTACAGTTAACTAGAAGGGACATATAAATAAGCAATTTTATGGAACATAATGGAAAGGACATCTAAACTGAGCTTGAGGAATCAGGGAAGCCTTGGAGGAAGAAAAAAGGATACAACAGGTAAAGGGACCCAAGGCAAGTATTAACTGAATTAAAAGAGGTTCATTTGGTATGGCAGGATTTTAAAATCTAGAGAGGGGATGTGATGGAGAGTGTTGGCAGTTGGAAAAGAAAATAAACAACTTTCAGATCACACACCACAAAGAGCCCTATATCTTACAGTACAGAGTTTGGAAGAATAGAGAATTAAATATTAGAGAAAGGGTTAGGAAGTAAGCATAAAGAGACTTGGTACATGTCTGCCTGGATGTGGGGAAAAGGGAACCAAGGATGATAACAAAGTGTTTTTTTGTTTGTTTGTTTGTTTTCTTTTTAAATATTTTTTGTTTTAGTTGTAGATGGAGACAATCTTTATTTTATTTATTTATTTTTATGTGTTGCTGAGGATCAAACTCAGTGTCTCACACATGCAAGGAAAGCTTGATAATGGTATATTTGAGGAAGATATATGTTTTTTTTTCTAGTGGTATTATGTATGAGTGGAGAGAACTAGTAGGTCTTTGGATATAAGACATATGAGCTAGAAATGGAGATTTGGGAATCCTAGTCACAGAAAAGAGGAAAAGAACATTGCAAAGAGAGGAGAAAAGTCAGGACACGACCTTGAAGAGCATCAGATTTAAGGTGGTTTTTATTCTGAAGAACTCTAAAAGGAGACTGAGAAAAAGACACCAGAGAGCTGGAAGAGAAATCAGAGAAGTATGGTATTTCTTCAGAAATTCTCATATTTCCTTGTTGTCCATGATAGGTGTTACGTGCATACACTGATGAAACAATATAAATTCTGCCCTTGAATAGCTTGGAATCTATTAAATAAATTGGCATATAAATTGTTTTATTACCAAGTGCAAGGGATACTGACTGAAGTGAAAAAATGTATTTTATTAGGGGAGAATGACAATAAACAAACAAATATAATTCCAGACAATGATAAATATGAAAAAGAAGAAAGAAAAATAAGGTGTTAAGGAATAAAGAGTCAATAGAGTCAATATTTCCTCAGGTTTTTTTTTTTTTTTTTT